GACATGAACAAGGACATGGACATGGACATGGACATGAACAAGAACATGAACAAGAACATGGACATGGACATGAACAAGAACATGAACAAGAACATGGACATGGACATGAACAAGAACATGAACAAGAACATGAACAAGAACATGAACATGAACATGAACAAGAACATGGACATGGACATGGACAAGAACATGAACAAGAACATGGACATGGACATGAACAAGGACATGGACATGGACATGGACATGAACATGGGGAAGAAACATGAGGATCAGGTGAGAGTGGGCGGGGCTAGAGCAAAGGCAGACAGGAGGAAGAAAACAGGAGGAAAGGACAGAAAACTTGGACTAAATCAAAGCACAGACACAAATCATGACAAAAGGCTACAAAGTTGATCCCTGAGGTGTTCAGGTCCAAGAACCAGAACCTCAGTCTGAGGAGGGACAGATCCTGTTCTGAAGAAGAAGAACGACTCTCTGATCTGGATCAGGACCTGTCCGTCTGTGATGGTTATCATTACATGCTGATGACATCATCTTTACCTCCTGAGCCCCCTGCCCCCCAGTACTGGGGGAAAAACAGCTTTTTCTGTTTCCCATTTCTTTTACCTTCTTTAACTTCAGACCTGTCAGATGAACCTGGACATGTTTGTACCAAAATAAACCTAAAAACTCATGGAAATATTTTTACATTCATTAAACAGTTCAAACGTCAAACAGCTGAATCAGACATTAATCAAACTGTAGAAAATGTTATTATTATAAATACAAACAAACAAATCTGTGGAGGAAAGATTTTTACTTTTTTTAAAGTAAGTCAAAGTATATACCTAAATATGTTATAAAGTGTGTTGAAAGTTTTTTTTTACTTAATTCTGAGTGAATCTGATCCAACTTAATTTATCATTATTTTATATAATATATATATAAAGTGACAAATAAATGTTTGGATATTGTTTCAAAAGAACAAACATTCAATAACAAGTCTTTAAAGGCAGGTAAGAAAATAATAACTTCAGATGTGTTAACATTAATTAACAGAACCATCATGGTCTGACCTGTGCAGAATGACTAAACATTAAATGATTTATTAATAAAACTCTGTAACTTTGCTCCAGTTCATGTCAGCAGCATGAATGTTTGTACAGGTGATGTCCACAGGTGGCTTTATGTTTCTAACAGTTTTAATCTGATTCATTATGGTTTTAAATGGTTAAATACTGTGTAATAATAACTTTATTCATGTTATAGATGATGTTAGAGTTAGTAAATACTGAAACACTCTGAGTTATATTTCAACATGGGCTTTTGAAGAAAAGCCCATGTGTTTTAATTAAACACGTCTTTACAG